GGTTTAATAACTTCATAATAAATCAATGAAGAACGATAATACCAGTTATAAATAACCGGTTTAATAACTTCATAATAAATCAATGAAGAACGATAGTACCAGTTACAAATATAACCGGTTTAATAACTTCATAATAAATCAATGAAGAACGATAGTACCACTTATAAATATAACCGGTTTAATAACTTCATAATAAATCAATGAAGAACGATAGTACCACTTATAAATACAACCGGTTTAATAACTTCATAATAAATCAATGAAGAACGATAGTACCAGTTATAAATATAACCGGTTTAATAACTTCATAATAAATCAAGGAAGAACGATAGTACCACTTATAAATACAACCGGTTTAATAACTTCATAATAAATCAATGAAGAACGATAGTACCACTTATAAATAACCGGTTTAATAACTTCATAATAAATCAAGGAAAAACGATAGTACGACTTACAAGTAATGAAAAGAAAAATTACGGTTCAGCCGATAAACCAAAAACAAAATTGTGATTTATAAGTGACCAATGAGAAGCACATTATAGTTACTAAGTGACCAATGAAAAGCACATTATAGTTACTAAGTGACCAATGAAAAGCACATTATAGTTACTAAGTGACCAATGAAAAGCACATTATAGTTACTAAGTGACCAATGAAAAGCACATTATAGTTACTAAGTGACCAATGAAAATCGCATTATAGTTATTAACTGACCAATGAAAAACGCAATATAGTTACTAAGTGACCAATGAAAAACGCTTTATAGTTAAGTGACCAATGAAAAGCGCATTACAGTTACTAAGTGACCAATGAAAACCACATTATAGTTACTAAGTGACCAATGAAAAACACATTATAGTTACTAAGTGACCAATGAAAAACGCATTATAGTTAAGTGACCAATGAAAAACACATTACAGTTACTAAGTGACCAATGAGAAGCACATTATAGTTACGAAGTGACCAATGGAGAAGAAGATCAGAAGAAGGCAGATCTTGTTGATAACGTCAACAGTCGTAGCTAGCAATTAGTTGAGTTCATCATTATTTTAACCCTGTTACTTACAATGAAAGTGACGTAATTAATGAAACAATGTTTCTTGGATTGCACGTGCAAGAATTACAATGTTATCTTACAAGGTTCGGCTTGCTTAGGATATTCTGGTTAGTCATATATTACACTAACAATGAATTACAATAAAAACCATAATAACAGACAATAAATTACAATTAAAATGAGTTACACTTGATGAATTAAACAGCCTAGTTAAACATAGCAACAATAAAATAAATATTCTAACAAAAACATTGTTAACAGCGAGGTTACCCAACTAATATCACTTTGTTTTGTATGATAACAATGTTTTTTGTTTAGCATGATATCACTGTTTATTTTATGTGATGACACTGTTTTTGTTTGATCTCATTTTTTTGTTTTTTATGACATCATCGTTTCTTGTTTTGTATGATATCACTGTTTTTGTTTGTATATCACCGTTTTCTATGATATCACTTTCTATTTTATATGACATCAAAAACAGTGATATACAAAACAAAAACAGTGATATCATACAAAACAGTGATATACAAAACAAAAATAGTGATATCATAAAAAGCAGTGATATACAAAACAAAAATAGTGATATCATAAAAAAGCAGTGATATGATACAAAACAAAAACAGTGATATCACACAAAACAGTGATATACAAAACAAAAACAGTGATATAACACAAAACAGTGATATACAAAACAAAAACAGTTGACATTTTTATGTTACCTAATTATCACATGTAGAATTTGGATATCATACAAACAAAAACAGTGATATCATACAAAACAAAAACAGTGATATACAGAACAAAAACAGTGATATCATACAAAACAAAAACAGTGATATCATACAAAACAAAAACAGTGATATACAAAACAAAAACAGTGATATCATACAAAACAGTGATATACAAAACAAAAACAGTGATATCATACAAAACAGTGATATACAAAACAAAAACAGTGATATACAAAACAAAAACAGTGATATCATACGAAACAGTGATATCATACAAACATCTTAAAACTAGACGTTAAACAACTTTTATCTGAAATATTAAATAAACCCCTTGTTTATCGTTTAATATTAAGGTAAAATAAATTCAATATAAACATAACGAAGTCAGTAATTAATTAATCTTTAGATAAACCATATAATTGTCCACCATTCATTTACGTTTTTGCCTCAAGTTTGAGACTCAGACACGCTTGTAATTAGCACTAAGTATTGAGGCCAAATAAGCTATTTTAGCAGTAAAATATGCAAATGTTGTGACAATTATTTCTGAGTATAGTAGTATTCGTAATTCAATTCAAATCCCACGGGATGCTAGGACAAATTTCGTGCCCCTATTTGTGAAAAGCAGTTATAACTAGTTTCTGTAGAAGGTATGCTTGGCTGGTCACAGTTAATGGATAGTAATTTACTTGGACGGAAAGAACGAAGAAAATATGCTGTAAACCAAATAAATCTTGATTCACGGAGTCTCTGGTAACTTTCCAGAGACTTTTAATTTCATCAAGATCGTTTACACTCAAGCCACGAGTTTCATCTTTCTCCGCCACCACCATTTCCTTATCTTATTTTGACAGGAGCGGTTTATATACACACATTGTGTCCAGTAAACCTCATACATATCTTCAGATGTCAGGAGACTTAGGAGCTGAATTATGGAACCGTGTTTAAATACTTATCAAGTGAAAATAAGCCTTTACAGAGATCGAAGACCCATCTCTTTCTTAACCCTAAATCAAACAAAATGAAATATTTGAAAGTTCAACAGAACAAACCCATAAGTCACGTCATTAATCTATCTGAAATATCCAACATAATCGTATTTTACGTAAGGAGGTCACGTGACTATTAACTATTACTCACATCGTCCAATAACATTCATAATAGTAAATCTAGAAAAAGTCCACAAGTAGGCGATTGTCCAGAAATAAAAATTTTGTGAAGCAAATCAAGTAAATAATATTGAAAAAGCAATAAAAATGGCCATGAAAACTGAGAAGTGACGTATAGAGATACGGTAGAAAATACGGTGGTATATTATACGGTGGTATAATACGGTGGTATATTATAAGTGAAATTAACGAATTCAATACACTGAGGTTATATTCTAATTCTAAAATTAGCGGACTTATATTAGGAACCCTCTTTGGAACTAAACATAGCCACAAACTTTTGACACGAGCCAAGAAGAAATACAAGGCTGTACGCTACCTTCCTCGAGCAAATCTCTGAAGCGTAGAGCCCGTGTAGAAACTCTGCTTTCCCTTCTAGGCGTATTCCTCGGTCAACGACCCTCAAACTTCCCATGCCATCCTAGAATGAAAACAACCTAAAAATAAGTTAGCGAAAATAAAACAAAATTTTGTCTTAAAAGGCAGTAGTAAGTTACACTACACTTTAGTATGTTACACTACACTTCAGAATGTTACACCACACTTTAATGTTACACTACGCTTTAGTATGTTACACTACACTTTAGTATGTTACACTACGCTTTAGTATGTTACACCACACTTTAATGTTACACTACGCTTTAGTATGTTACACTATACTTTAGTATGTTACACTACGCTTTAGTATGTTACACTACGCTTTAGTATGTTACACCACACTTTAATGTTACACTACTACGCTTTAGTATGTTACACTATACTTTAGTATGTTACACTACGCTTTAGTATGTTACACTATACTTTAGTATGTTACACTACGCTTTAGTATGTTACACTACACTTTAGTATGTTACACTATACTTTAGTATGTTACACTACACTTTAGTATGTTACACTACACTTTAGTATGTTACACCACACTTTAATGTTACACTACACTTTAGTATGTTACACCACACTTTAATGTTACAGTACGCTTTAGTATGTTACACTACACTTTAATATGTTACACTACACTTTAATATGTTACACTACACTTTAGTATGTTACACTACACTTTAGTATGTTACACCACACTTTAATGTTACACTACGCTTTAGTATGTTACACTACACTTTAATGTTACACTACGCTTTAGTATGTTACACTACACTTTAGTATGTTACACTACACTTTAGTAAGTTACACTACACTTCAGAATGTTACACTACGCTTTAGTATGTTACACCACACTTTAATGTTACACTACGCTTTAGTATGTTACACTACACTTTAGTATGTTACACTACACTTTAGTATGTTACACAACACATTCCTTCACAACTTTAGAGAAACGAACTGAACAACGTTACTTTTATTTTGTCCTAAACTAGAAATTAATAACAGCTACACAAGATCATCATCAATACCAAGTCATTCATGAACAACAACAGTAGAAAACTGTCAATACACCCAATACGTAAAGAACAGAGTTACATCGGTTGTTTTACTGACAAACAAAACTAATGTATCGGTTGTTTTACTGACAGACATAACTAATGTATCGGTTGTTTTACTGACAAACATAACTAACGTATAAGTTGTTTTACTGACAAACATAACTAACGTATAAGTTGTTTTACTGACAGACATAACTCAATGTACCACTTTTACTGTCAAACATAACTAATGTTTCGGTTGTTTTACTGACAGACATAACTCAATGTACCATTTTTACTGTCAAACATAACTAATGTATCGGTTGTTTTACTAACAGACATAACTCAATGTACCACTGTTACTGTCAAACATAACTAATGTTTCGGATGTTTTACTGACAGGCATAACTCAATGTACCACTTTTACTGTCAAACATAACTAACGTATCGGATGTTTTACTGACAGACATAACTCAATGTACCACTTTTACTGTCAAACATAACTAATGTATCGGTTGTTTTACTGACAGACATAACTCAATGTACCACTTTTACTGTCAAACATAACTAATGTTTCGGTAGTTTTACTGACAGACATAACTCAATGTACCACTTTTACTGTCAAACATAACTAATGTTTCGGTTGTTTTACTGACAGACATAACTCGATGTACCAGTTTTACTGTCAAACATAACTAATGTTTCGGTTGTTTTACTGACAGGCATAGCTCACTCTTCCAATTATTTTTGCTGGATATTCAAACAAAATACACTTACGATAGAAAAGTCCATGACTTTGATGATCCAGATCGTGAGGGCTAAGTTAATGATGACGACAGCCATTAGTAGGATAACGAGAAGATATAGGCACCGTTTTCGCCAGCCGTAAATCCCTATTCGGTAAACTAGCTGGTGCTGGTAGTCAGGCCCAGAGCGCGCTGTACAGTCCTGTGAGGCTGGGGACGTCGCCGTTGAAACGTCGCCTCGTCCCATAGTCAGCCTAGGAAGAATAGTCATATAAAGTGGAACTTAGAAATTTCTCTAAATATTTTCTTTGGTTATATTTATTTGTTTCTTTAATTTCGTACAAAGAGAGCCATCTACGCTAGCAGCCCCAAACTTCGAAGTGATAGATCAAAAGGAAGGCAGCTAGTCAAGACCGCCCACCGCCAACCCTTGGGCTATTCTTTACCAACGAATTGATCGTAACATTACAACTCCCCTACGGCTGACGGGGCTCTTTCTTTTGTTTGTTTTTTTTTGTTGTTGTTTTGTTTTTATGTACCACCGAAATTGTTATTAATTAACTTTTAAATTGTTTACATTAGAAGTTATGATACCTGTAAAAAAGCTGACTAGATATTTACTTTATACACTGACCTCGCATTAAATACAGGAGTGTTGTGATAGGCCTTTGTATAAAACATTTGAACATATATCTATTGACACAATAAAGAAAACTACATTTAGAACAGTATTTTGCAGTCACTTATTATTTCTGACAATCTACATGTCTAAACTTGTCTATGGAATATGTCTCAAAGTTTTCGCTGGGCCTAAAACTTGTCTGACATAATTATAGTGTGAATAGGTAGGATATATCTCATAGTTTCTTAGCTAAGCCTAAGACTTGTTTGACATAGTTAAATTGTGAATTGGAAGGATATATCTCATAGTTTCTTAGCTAAGCCTAAGACTTGTTTGACATAGTTAAATTGTGAATTGGAAGGATATATCTCATAGTTTCTTAGCTAAGCCTAAGACTTGTCTGACACAGTTATAGAGTGGATAGGTACGATATATCTCATAGTTTCTTAGCTAAGCCTAAGACTCGTCTGGCATAGTTATAGAGTGGATAAATACGATATATCTCAAAGTTTCTTGACTAAGCCTAAAACTTGTCTGACATAGTTATAGAGTGGATAAATACGATATATCTCAAAGTTTCTTGATTAAGCCTAAAACTTGTCTGACATAGTTATAGAGTGGATAAATACGATATATCTCATAGTTTCTTAGCTAAGCCTAAGACTTGTCTGACATAGTTATAGAGTGGATAAATACGATATATCTCATAGTTTTTTAGTTAAGCCTAAGACTTGTCTGACATAGTTATAGAGTGGATAAATACGATATATCTCATAGTTTCTTAGCTAAGCCTAAGACTTGACTGACATAGTTATAGAGTGTATAAGTACGTATTATATCTACAAGTTTCTTAGTACGTAAGCCTAATACTTGGTCTGTACATACGTTATAGTAGTGGATAAGTA